ATTATGTGTTGATAATTAGTGAAAACTTCATATTTAAGTCTTACACTCATTTTTGGCTATAAAGTTAGTTAGATCTTTTAGCACTCTATGTTTTATATGACAAACAAATACATGCGTAAACTAAATTGTTTCAAACTTACCATTAATCAAGTTTTATATTATGTTTTTACAAGTTTTATTTTTGATAGACATATAATTATTTTTTCGATCCATAAATTCATGACTATTGTAATAATTTTATTAAAAAAATTAACCCGGACGTAGTCCGGAAAATGCCTAGTTTTCCTTAATGATTTCTTAGACAGATCTTTTTATACAGTACTTTTTAATTTTGGGAAAAAAGTAAAGATCTGGTTAGATGCTCTGAATCTCTCCTTGTTTGATGAGATACCAGTTTAGTTTATTTTAGTGGCTTCTTGGACTTTTGGTAGTAACCATTTAATGGATGAAACATATAACTCGGTCACTCACTTAAGTAGATATAGATTTTTTTGTGTAATTATGTTGGAGTAATGAGATATTTTTAAAAAGGGATGTGCTTGGTAAAAGTAAGAACTTTCAGTGATTAGTTTAGCTTGGAGAGATAGCTTGGCAGTTCCCTTTTTGCTAAGAACCATACTTGATCAGGTTAGATGCTGAATCCTCCTTGTTTGATGATGTGACAATGATACCACTTTGGTAGTTTATTTTCATTTCGGACTTCAGTGGTTAACATTTCATGGATGAGCATACAAGTTCGAACTGAGTTTTTTGAAAATTAACTGGCTTTGGCTTCATTAATCTATATTCCCTGGCTGTATTGGTAACTTGATTACTTAAGTAACATAGATTCTCTGTAGTTATGTTGGATTAGTGAGATATTTCTAAAGATAAAGGGATGTGCTTGATAAGAGTAAGAACTTTAGTGATTAGTTAGCTTGGCGGTTACCTTTTGCTAAGAACCATACCAGCTTCTTTTTTTTGGCTGTTTTGTCTCTCTCTCAAACTGTAGAGAGATGTAAAGTGAAAACTTCTGATGTAGTGCAAAGTTCCACAAGTTTGTGACATATTTAGGCTAGATGGTAGAGTGATATGTGGAAGTAAGATAACTAGCTGAGTTCAGAATGTATTGAGGATGAAATACTTTTAGTCTGTTTCGATGTTCCTCTCTCTTACCAAAAGTTTCTGAAGCATTTGGTATTGTGCTTTCCTCTGATGTTTGATCATAATTAATGCACGCTTACATGACTGTTAACAAATGATGTTGCTGCGGTATGGCTAGTGTTTCATTGTTGTAGATTTAGAATATATGCCCCAGTTTTATATGTCAACTGTAACACAGTTGCCTTGAGTGAATGACTTGGATTACATGATTATGTTGATATGGAAAATGGATCTCAGAGTCAGAGACTGGAATTTAGCTTGATTTGCTTCACTTATTGGTGTACGGACTATACCATCATCAAATTATCTGTAATACTAATCAGATTTGCAATTGCGCTCTGTAGGTTTTTGGTGACAAAGCCTTCGAAAAGTTTGGCAAGTATTTAATTTCAATGCACTTCTCGGACCAACATCCTGGCAAACACAGGGAGATGCTGCTTTTCAAATTTGCCTTACCTGATGCCAAGAACATGGATGATATGGTCCGGTTGATAGCGCTTATCTATACTATTAACGCTGAAGTACAAAATTAAAGTGTTTGGAAACATAAATAAGAAAATTTTAAAAGATTGATTGGAAACATGGATAGCATACAAATTTAATGGACTTATTTACTATACTAAAGATTACTGCGGCCCAAGGTACCATTATTATTGTTTTTTTGTATTTTCTATCATTGATATTACTTTATTTCTACAAATTATTTATACATATATGTATTCATGTTTTAAATGTATTTAGAATAAATCAAGAATAATATATATTTTATTTATATAATTTATATTGACTATTCTTATAAGTTTTTAACAGTGATATACTAGCCTTCCAATTCTTCATTAAAAAATTAAATTAAAAATTTGACTA